CACAATTTTTTCCACAACACTTGCAGTACTTACTGCGAAGAGATTTGCAAATCTCTGACTCTTCTATTCGGGGCCCTGAGACCCGGTGCCATTTATCAACGTTATCCACTGGAGATGTACCAGTACTTGAATCATCGAAATGCAGCTGTTAAAATTCTGGTCCTCAAAAATATAGAAAAAACATTAGAAAATATCGAGCAAGTTCCTCGCCTGATAAATGACATTAATCTACTCATTCGTGTCATCGAAACCATCGGGGATGAGAATTTAAATGTCGCGTTAATTGCGATGAACATGATGAAAAAAATTGGTCGTGTACCAGACGGTGTGAAAATCATTTACACAGGTCCCATGCTGAGAGCATTTGCTCGACTAATTCCGAAGAACGATGCTGTTACATTCAGAGTTTATGAGGTCATCGTTGACATTGCAAAATCATCACCCGAGGGTTTAGAAGCCTCCGCCAATTCCGGATTTTTGGCTAGTCTCCTGCAAATTTTGGACAGCGATGATGTGCTGCTCCAATTAAATACTCTAGAAGCATTAACTGAATTAGCGAGTACCCAAGAGGGTCTGAATTACCTTGAAGAAAGAAGCGTATTGAAAAAACTGGCTAATCAAATAAGAGAAGCGAATGAAAATGTTCTTTCAAGAGTTCTCATCCCTGGATTAATGAAATTCTTCGGAAACGTCGCAAAGAGCCGCCCCGACGAGATATTCTCAAAATATCCGTTCGTTATTTTGGCACTGTTTCAAGTAATTGAGGAGGACGATGCAGTTTTATTATCCAATGCCCTTGACACCCTCGGATACGTATCATCGTCTATTGAAGGAAAATATGCCTTAGAATCACTCGGCGACGCTATGCCTAGAACGATAAAGAGAATTTCTCTAATAATTGAGAAACATCCAACAGAGTTAAGACTGAGAGCCTTAGACAATCTCGCATTGATCATTCATATTGATAAATCCCAACAAGACAATCGCATTTTATCTCTGACTAAATCGTGGTTCGATCTGCTCCATGATGAATCTCTTACCTTCATCGTTAATCTGTGTAAACAGCCGTTCGATGATATTAGGCAATCGTGCATGCAAGTTCTTGTTGAGATTGCTTCTCAAATGTGGGGACAAGAGTATATTGCTGCTATGCCGGGTTTAATCGAGTTCCTCTTGGATCGATCTGCAGAAGCTTTCAACAATTGTAAACAAATTAAATACCAGATCGTCAAGAATCTCTCTGAAGCTTCCTCAGATATATTTGACAGTGCAACACGTCAGCAACTCCAACTATTCGTCCAGCAAGGACCATTCTTCGTTGACTTGCAAACGCAAGTCGCTACTGAATCGACATCGTGAATATTTCAACGAAAGTCATTCATTCGTGTTCGTTACTATTTTTATTACGCCTTTGTAGATAAACACAAAACTTACAAAAATAAATTGAGTATTCTAAGAAAATAATTTATTCATACACGTGGTTAATAATAATAATTAAAGGAAAATTATTTATGTCATTTCCATGGGGTTGAAGGGTAGAATCGCCACTCGGAAATGATTTTTAAACAATAAGTTAGGGTCATTCCATTCGTTTTTTCTTTTTGGGGGAGAGAATCTTGAGCATACTGACGATAGGAGCCTCAAATGATAGAGATACTGCGAAGGAGACGATGTAGGAAAGTACAACCTGTCCGATGAATGTGACCACCTGCAAATCGCATAAGGAAATTAATTTGCTTTCATTATAATGAGTGTAGGTTTTTTAATTTACGTCAAGAGTCGACTCACCACTGTATCTTTCCCCAAATGGAATGGCGAGTCCAAATTCATAGCCGTCAACCGAATAATCATTGGATGAACTAGATAAGCACAGTAAGTGACTCTGCTAAAGGGATAGAGAATCGGTGCTGAGAGAATTTTGTTCACCCATCCTGTAATCGTAATGAATTGATAAAAAATTGAGTAAATTGTAGACCAGAGAATTCCAGAAAAGCTGATTATAAAGAAGTTGTAAATTCATTAATGAATTATAGAGTAAGAGAATTTTACGGAACCTGATTATAGAGTAATTGTAAATTAATTGATTAATTATAGATTAGAAGTTTGGGCAATTTTGAGTGAGGGAGTGAGTGATTAAATTCGAGTTGAAAATGAATGAAAATTGAAGGTTTTTTCACCTCCATATCCGGTACTGCAAGCGATAACGATCCAAGCAAGACCAAGTGCCCATGCACTGTGGCTCAAGGAAGAATAGGCAGCAGCTGTAATTGGTGATAATTCAGCTTCATATAGTCCATAAAGTAAACTCAGTAAACACGCTGATGACAGAAGCCAGCCGATAACAACAGTTGTTCTTGACATCTTGACTTTACAGTCAGTCTTAAATAGAAAATATCCAACGGACATTCCGATGAGGTAAGGACCAAGTCTCGTCCACGGCTTATCGTAAATTTTATCGAACAGTGCTAATGGGTCATCGGAGCTAGGCATGTGATTGTTCACGAGAGCTATGTATCCTGTGGTCAGCCATGAGCTCACCATTAGTGTAATCACTGAGAAAGCTGCCACTTTCAAGTGATTCGTTGCGATTACGAGGATTACCGCACCGACTATGTAAAATTGGGTGTCGTCTGCTACGTACCAACTCCAAAGCATGCACTACAAACAAAAAACAAATTATTATTACTATTGTCATTGCATTTTCAGGGATTGAAGGCATGATATATTCTTCTCTTTTCATGGGGCAATAAATTCTTCATTGAAAAATTGTAAAAATTATTATTTAAAAATTAATATT